CGTTCGAGACTTTATCCTCCGCTACCCACAGGATACTTCGGCAACGCGATCCTTCGCACCTCAGAGGGCGCAAAGGTCAGAGATATTGTTTCAAACTCGCTTGAATTGGCAGGGGAGAAGATACAGCAAGCAGTGGCGAAGGCGGATGACGAGTTCGCAAGGTCTCTGATCGATTACTTGGAGATGGGGAATGATGAGAGGGAGTGGTTCCTGACAAAAGGGGATCTTCTTGTGATCAGTTGGCTCGGGATGCCGATATATGAGGTTGATTTCGGCTGGGGGAAGCCAGAGTTCATGAGGAGAGCTAATATGTTTTGTGGAGGAGTTGGGTATATAATGGATGGTCCTGGAGGGAGTGGAGATGTGAGTGTTGTTATGGCGATGGAGACAGAGAACATGGAGGGATTCAAGAAGGCATTTTATCAAGGATTTGATCTCTGTTCCGGGTTTCAGGCATAAACATTGCGCTGACGAAAGATTTTAGTCTCCCTTCTTTTTTCCCCAGAAAATAGTATGTTTGTATTTGCGTGGTGTGCAATAACAAACTAAGGTGTTCTCTATGTGTAAGTGGCCTTAGAACCCAACAAGGATTCTGGGCGTCTCCACTGTAAATGAAGAGAGCGCTACTTTTAATTTTAACTCCATCTTTTTAAATGTGAGATAGAAAGATATTTTAACTCTATCTTTTTAAATGTGAGATAGAGAGGTATGTTGTTTGTGGGTATATGATAAATATTATATTTCTCATGAATCACAGTCCTCCACAACTGCTTATTAAATAGGAAGCCCAACTTGGCAACAAGCAAAGGAAGAGGTTAAGAGGGTTTAATATCTCTTTTACCTCGAACAATAAAAAATTACACATGGCAGAGAGGGAGAAAAAAGAGCAGAGGGGGTCAATTTTACTTGTCATGGGATGGACTAACCATTATGTAATTGGGACTTGCAGTACGGCTTGTTCATTGCTCTTCTATCCCGGCTGTTGGAATTTATTGAAACCCTAGATCCATTACCTTATTACGGATACATTTGTAAGTATAATTATCAAATATGGTATCATGTATTGCATTATATAACTTGATGATCATGGCATCTTAGCGTCAGCTCTGCTACACTTGGTAGGAAATTCTAGTTCCTTTTTTTTCCCGTCTTATTCTTTTGGATCAACATATTGATTACGGTCAGAGAGTCAAACCTATGCATCACAAGTAAGGAAAAAAGCATCAGAAATCAAGAATTAACATCAGTGATATATAATAAACATAATAGCAATTACGTAATGCTTAATACATAGCAACCGAAACCCATGCAAAGTCAGTGACTATAGAAAAGGATAATTCTGACGATAGCAACCACTCAGTGAGACTTATAATGATCTTCCGCCAAACCGTTGAAAATCCATGCCGCCTCTAGCCTTAAAATCAACGCGTACGGGACATCACTTGGACATAGACCCCAGCCCACCACCTTTCCATTTTCAGACTTGTGGTCATAAAGTTGGGAGTACCACGCCCGGTAACGAAGTCATATAGTAATTAATGATAGCCTACACAAAATGGGGGTTTTCGCCTTTACACCCAAAGTTTTCCTCTGGTTTATCTTTAGACCCAAGTAAATTTATTTGTACATTCGAACCCAAATAACTTTCTGTATTTATCTTTACGTCCAATTTCCCAAATACACAACTTAATTATGTCGCTCCCCTCAGATCTTAAGAAAACTTTAAAAGCCACATTTTGCCTCTTTTTCTCGCTTCATTCTCTCTTACTTTGTATTGAGGGATTCTTTAGCACGAAGTTAAAGGAAATAGCCCTCTATTTTTTTTAAAATTTGCAAAAACCACCCTACAAGTTTTGAATTGCAGAAAACACACAAAAATTCAAAATAATAAAACGTACCTTAAAAACTTCAAACCTACAAACATATAGTGATAATCTAAGAATTATGAACAGCCCTCTAAGAAATTTAGAATTTGCAAAAACCATGACTAAAAATTCAAAATATACATAAAGCACAATAAAATACGATATTTACAAAAACACTTTAAAAAGACCCAATCTCACAATCAGGAGTTTCTTCAAATGTTTGTACATTTGATCTTTTTAGGGGTGTCTTTGTAAATTTTGGCGTGTTTTATGAAAATATAGGAATTACAAACATCACCATAAAATTTATAATTTGCAAAAAATACCCTAAAAATTTACGGAGTCAACCCAAAAGATCAATGGTATCATGGAGTAAAACATGTACAAGTATGATACAAGGAGGCCTGGGGGTTTTCTCTTCAATTATCTGGAACTATTCATCAGCTATGAAGATGCTATGGGACATTCATTCAAAAAAAGAATGTTTGTGGATCAAATGGATCCATGAGACATACTTAAAACACACTGATATCTGGCAAGTGGAAATCAAGAATAGTGACTCTTGGATGTGGAAGCAGCTCTTAAAAGCTAGAAATAAAGCTTTGCAACAATGTGGAGGAATAGAGAACCTACATGAGCTCATCAAGGCAAGCTGCTGCAATAACAGTAAAGTTAAGCTATCGAAAATGTATCAAGCTCTATCCCCTGCAGTTGACAAAGTGCCATGGTGCAAAACAATTTGGGGGGTGGGGGGGGGGGGTTAATCATCCTAAGCACTCATTCATTTCATGGTTGGCGGTGCATGACAGACTTTTGACACAGGATAAGCTTCAAAGAAGAGGAATCATTCAAGTTAACAAATGCATTCTATGCTCTGGTGCTGAAGCAGAAACACTTATACTTTGAATGCACCTACACAAGAGAAGTCTGGATCAATATCATGGACTGGTTGCAGTTTAAGTGAAAGAGTTGCAATTGGAATCTTCTTCTAAATTAGTACAACTCAAGTATTCGAGGAAAAGAATTCAAGCATAGAGTAAAAAGAATGGCCCTGTCTACATCTATATATAATATATGGATGGAACGCAATGCAAGAATCTTCAAACAAAAATGTAAGGGGATTGAGCAACTTACCAGAATTATCAAGGTGGACATGTTGACAATAGTTCTAAATAGTAATATACATATAGAAGATGAGAGATGGATACTTTCCCTGTAACTGTATATAGATTGTAGGGAACTGACGGATACTCAGTTCTGAGTTCTTCTGATGTACACAAAATTCTCCATATGGTCAAATGAATAAAATTTCATTTACCAAAAAAAAACCCAAAAGATAAATCTTAAAGACATTTACAAAAAACACATTTTATAAGCTTTGATCTTTTCTATGTGTTTTTTTAAAATTTTGTTTTTTAGTGTGTTTCTTGCAAATTTTGAAACTTTCAGGGTGCTTTTTGGAAATTCTAAATTTCTCAAGAGAGTTGTTCATAATTCCTAGATTATCATAGTTCTAAAATTTTTAGACTATGTTTTATACTTTTTTCAAATTTTGAGGGTGTTTTTTTGCAATGCAAAACTTTTATGGTAATTTCTACAAATTGTAAGGAAAAACAAGAAAAAAAAACCTAAATGCAAAGGAAGAGAGAATCTACGGAGAGAAAGGGAAAAAATGGTGCTTTTAAAGTTTTTTTTTAGGAAAGGCCATGTAGTTATGTAGTTTATTTGAGAAATTGGGCATAAAGACAAGTATACAAAGTTGTTTGGGTTTATAAGAGCATCTCCAACAGCTTCCCCATTTCTTACTTTTAGAGAATTTAGTTAGGTTTTTGGTCCAACAGATTCCTCATCTCATTCCCCAAAATAGGGATGGAGGAGGAAAAATGGGGAAGCTTCCCCAAATCTGCAGCATTCTCTAAATTTTTGGAGAAAAAAAAATTATTCTTCAAAATGGGGAAACTGTTGGAGTTGTGTAAAAATAATTTGAAGAATATGACTTTTGCTTCCCCATTTTGGAGAAAATTTTATAGAAGCTGTTGGTGATGCCCTAAGTACAAGGAAAACTACTTGGATCTAAAGGTAAATCTGGAAAAGACTTTGGGTGTAGAGGCAAAAGCCCTTAAAAATAAGGTAGAGAGAGAAATAAATTGTATCGGTCTCACTAGCAATTTTAAATTAGTGCAAAGAACATACAATCAGTAGAAGTAATAGAGAATCAACATAAACGGCTAAAAATAATAAGATTCGATGATAATGAAAAAAGCTAAACTAAAATAACAAAGAAATTACCTGAAATAAAACCAATAAAGAAATTACCTTGGGAGATCATGGAGGCTCAGGTCTAGTCCAGCAGCCCGCATTGCACATGCAGCGGATGCACCGGGCTACCACTCACCTAATAGGATAATGTGTTAAAACATTTTTTGGGTGTTTGTTCATGCAATATCACTTGTTTGATTAAAACAAACTTTCATTTGCTATTGATATGTTTGTTAGACGATATACTTCATGTATAAACAGATATGGAACAAGTTGCAGCTCAAAATGATGCAAAGATCAAAAAAATGTTGATTCAGCCTTTGAACCATCGATGGTAATGAGGCACCATCGATGGTCATGTCAAGTCATCGATGGCCTACAGGAAAGAATCAGAGAAATAGAAATTAGAAATTGGACTGTCAATAATCTATAGTCAACCATCGATGATAACAAGGATCATCGATGGACTATAGTCAATAATCGCAAAAATCCCAAAATCAAAATATGCATAATCAATGGACTACAATCAACCATCAATGATCATCAATGGATCATTGATTATCATGATCACCATCGATGGTTGCGATGATTTTTGGAGATTTCAAGTTTTAATCGCAGCCGTTCGTCCATGGTTGCGATGATTTTTAATCTCCTATTGGACTCTAATTAGGGTATCTCTTTCATATGCTATCAAGGTCTATTTAAGGAGAAATGAGAAAAAAAAGGAGAAAAACAAAAAGATACAAAGACAATTACATAAATAGAGATATCTTATTCTAGGTTTATGAGAGAGTTTGATTTGAGAATTCAATCCCTAGAGCCTCATTCAACTTCTTCTCGTCACACTCATTATTAAAGGTTTATTTCGGCAAGGAGAAGTGCCATTTGCGTTTGATTTCAATATTGCTTCTTCACGAATCTTCATCACCATCAATTTGAAAGGCGGTTTGTTAAAATGGCTGCAAGATTTTTTTCTTGTTGTTGATGCTAAATATCACACAACTAATTGGATCCAAACTGGGATTGGATCTGATCCAGAACTGGATCGGTCCCCCTTGAGTCCTCACCGGGACGTGGTAGGGGAGAGTGATGGAGGGGCCGCTTCCTTCTTTAACTTTATGCCTAGTTCTTGAATGGGGGATTGATGTCCATGTTGCACAGACAAGAAGAACCCGTGAGAAGGCAGGGAGCGGTTCCCTCGTGGTTCATCGGACGGTCAAGTTAGTAAAACTCGAGTGGGGAAGTGGAAGGTTAGGAACCAATGTGGTTTTTAAAGTGGCAATGTCTCTGCCCAGAGGATCTACGCGAGCTCTTCTGTCTAGACAAAGAACTATGTGTTCTTCTTTTTGTGCCATGTATGCTTTAGGGGGTTTTAGATTACGAACCTTTAGCTATAGTGAATAGCATCTATATATAAAGAGGACGTCAATGGCAGATTGGTCACTTCGGCCATGAAAATCATAGTGACAAAGTGTGAGCTAGAAGGTGAGTCATCCTTTGCTCTACATGTGTCGG